AGAGCCCCACCTCACACGAGTCCTCAAAAAACATTATGTGATTGCAATGGTCTGTCTGCCTCTGAGTCCAGCCTTGCCCCACCCCACCACCAGGCCAAATTCATATGTTAAAAACCTAATGCCCAAGAATGGTATTAGGAGGTAGGGCCTCTGGGAGGCAATTAGGTCCTAGGGTAGAGTCCTCATGAATGGGATTGGTGCCTCTATAAAAGGGTTTCCAGAGAGATTCCTAGCCCCTTCCACCATGTGAGGATGCAAGGAGGGGTCTGCAACTTGGAAGATGGTCCCCATTTGACACTGCTGGCACCTGATCTTGGAAATCCAGTCTCCAGAACTGTTAGACATAAATATATCTGTTGTTGTTTATAAGCTATGCAGTCTGTGATATTTGTTATAGCAGCCCAAATGGACCAAGTAATATTAATAATAACTTAATAATAGTGATGGCAATAAGGATGATGAATAAGAAAGGCCTTAAATAAAGCAAAAAAAAAAAAAAAGTCGAAATGTGGATACATCAAAGTTGAAAACGTCAAGTCATCTTTTGTCATGCATAAGTTAAAAGTTAAGAAATTCCAAGACAAGCCACAGACAGGAAGAAAGTATTTGCAACATCTATTACAGCTAAGGAGTAACATCTAGAATACACAGAACTTTCAACACAAGGCAAGGGCTATAACTAGGTAATTCATGTAAGAGAAAATAGAAATAGTCTATAAATGCATGAAAATATACAGAGTGTACGAGCAAATCAGACAATAGAAAACTAAAATAAAGAAATAACATGCCTGCATCAAACTGGCAAAAATTAAAATGTTTCTTAATAGCGTCAGTGGGACTTGAGGAAACAGATCTTCTCACACAAGATTGGCAGGATTATAAAATGACACAACTATTAAATAAAATTTAGGATATATATAGCCTTCAATCAGCACCTGTACTTCAGAGACTTTACCTCAGGGAAACCCTGACCCATATACCCAGAGAGAGATACACAAGCCTGTGTATTACTCTATGTTACAGAACTGTTAACTGTTGCCCAAAATTAGAAAAAGACAAACACCAACAGGCCATCAATGAGAAATTTCTACTGCTAGATAAAACGTAGTAATCCATTCCATAAGATATGAGAGAGCAATTTTAAAAAATGAGGTAGATACACAGGTACTTATATCCATAGTTCTCTAAGACATCTGTAAAGTGAAAAGCAAGTTTGTGGAACAGTAAAAATAATGTGATGTTATTTAGGATACAAATGTACATAAACAAAACAAAATGAACTATTTCCATAGTTAATACATACACAACTTCATTAAAAAGAGATCTCAAAAGATATCATGGAGTTGTTGCCAGCGGCTGACTCTGAAGAGAGGACTAAGACTGGGGTCAACAGTGAGAAGGGGTTAAGGACATGTATACTGCTTTACTCTCTTACACAAAGAACAATTTTTAATTGCATAATGGAAAGTAAATAAAATGTGTAACAAAAGAGAAAGGAGTAGGAGTCTTTCAATTAAAATGTGTATTTTTCTTCCTATTCCTTTTTAATTTAATTATGTGCTCCTCTCCCCTTCCCCAAGCTCCTGTTTTAGGGATACAAGGAAGAGTTTACTGAACTATGTTGAACTTCCTGGATCTGAACTAGTAGTGACTAGTTTTATTTTTACACCAACCTTGGCGCAGAAACGGCATCGAGTTGCAAGGCAAAGGTCTACTTCGTTTCAGATTCTAACAGGATAGCTTTCTATTAGCTCTTTAACATTGACCCCTTTTTTCTTCTTTAGCTTTCCTTCCAAAATTGTGATGCAGATTTTTCTTGTCACTCACATGCTTTTCATAGCTAACACTTCCTGTGTTGGTTTCTGGTCCCCATATGGCATAGCTCCAAAGAAAAGTCATAGCCTCCCTCATGCAGGCAGCCTCTTAAATACTCAGGCTGCGCAGTAGCCCCTTCTCACCCATGATTACAAATAAACTGATCCTCTTCACATAATACACACTGACATAAGAAAAAACACCATATTTAAAAGTCATGTTCAGAAACTCATTTTTGCTAATTACAGTCAATAAGATTTACAGAGCCAACAGCAAAGAGGAAAGAATGATGAAAATAAGTACAGAGCTGGTAAAAAGTAGGAACATTTATCCCATAAAATGATATGCATATTTATCTGCTTCCACCAATCCCAAACATTTTTTCACTGTTTCACCAAAGTACATTTTGCTACCTAAAAATTACTTGCTAGCTCTGGTTTTTAATTCCTAAATCTATCATCTGAGCTGTCTGTCTTCTTTGCCATCTATCATTTCTATGGTGACAAATCAAAGGAAAGGTTAGGGAAGGAAGCATGTTACTGTCTATAGAGGGTGAAATCAGTGACTTGAAATGGGTGGCTCTGGTCCATGGTATATAGCCATGGAAGAAGAAAGGACATGGGTAAGATAATGTGTAAAATGTTAAGATTTTCCTCCAGTGCTATGAAAAGAAAGATATAACAATATTCTTTGCCAAGAACTTCTTAAAGTCACTCAGCTTGCCTCTGAGCAGATGAGGCATTTGGTGTTTACTAATCAAAACATTTGGGCACAGACTTCATGGACAAAGGAGAAATATGTTGAGAAGAAGTCTGTAGGGAGAAGAGAGGCATATTACAATAAGTACCAATGCAAGCTTCCAAACCAATGGAGAACACATTGTGTAAAATCAAGGGATAACCTTACAAGTATCATATTTTTTCCTCTGAGATATCATCTTTATAATACAGGTGATAGATTCACATCAGTAAGAGTAATTGTCAGCAAAAAATATTTTTTAAAAAGTGGGCCTCTAAGTAGTAATATCATGATCACACTGGAACCTTCAAATAATCTTATACAAAAACATGAACTAAAAGCTTGGCATGCCACCCTCATTTGCAAGTACCATCTATTTCTCCTAGCATCCATTTAGCATCCACTCTAATATATCACTTACAGGAGTCCATCTCCTAGAAGTGAATGCATCACTCTCTCTGGTCCCAGGACTGGGCTTAAAGCCAGAAGAAAATGACAACCTTGGAAGCATGGAAAGTTTATTTTTTTCTTAAATCCTCTCATCTTTTGGATACTGATATATGATCATTGACTAAAAAATAAACCTCCAAGCTCTGATATATGACTAATGAATGACTTAGGTCTTTAAAAAGTGAAAAATAAAATTTACCATCTCTTGTCTAGAACTGTAAGATTAATATCCATGAAAAGAAAAGTAATAAAGAGAAAAGAAATTGCTACCGCATTATTTGTATCAATTGGTCATAAACAGCTTTACAATCAAGAGAAAATGGTTAATATAAAAAAATTGAAAGAAATATTCCTACATTTAAAATAAGCACGAGTCTAAATACTGGGTTCGCAGAATAGAGAGGTATCAAAGAGACTTTAGTCCTAAACCCTTTCTCTTTCTTAAACAAAGAAATATTTATGATTGGTCTTAGAGGGGAGCTTAACTGAGTTGCCATGAATTATTTAAAAACCCCCAAATACCTTCTGTTGCTTTTATAGAGGCTTGAAAAATCAAATTGACAGTTTAGTCTCTCATACAAATATTCAAACTTTTAAAATACTCTAGGCATTATAAATACATCTTTCACGAATATAGCTTCAACAGTTCTAAAAATAGCCTTTAGGAGGAAAAAAACCCTTTCAAGCCATTGTTTTATACATAACAGCAGGAAACCAAACAGAATGTCAAAGTCAAAGTGATTAACACACCCAGTAATAAGCACAAACATTAAGTACGATATCTTGCTTGAATACATTTTTTGATATTAGCTTGGGGTCTATGGTTTAGCCCCACATCTGCGGCCAGAGGTAATTCCAGGGCAGCCATATTCAGAGAGTAACTCTTAGGCTAGGAGACTAAAATTTACCTTTTGCATGAGGTGTAAACAGGCCCCCTTGAGACTGCCCCTGGGGCCCAGATATTACTTTCCAGCACCCTAAAAGCCTCTCCTAGTCTCCACTCCTATCCTCGACATATTGGACTAGTTCTATATCACTACTCACAGGTGAAATCCAGGTTGCCCAGAAAGTAAAAGGTGAGACTGACAAACTCCAGGAACTTTGGATATAGGGATCTAATATGGGGATATGAAAGGCTAACAGTGCCTTACAATTTGGTGCCAGATGGTTTTGATATGTAGTTAGCACTCCCAATAAAGCCTATCTCATCTCTCCAAATATCAGAACTTAGAGGGACAAAATATCCTGTATTCCGCATCCTCATAGGTTCAAGTACAGAACCGTGGCATTCTCTCTTGAAATAATAACCACTTTCTATGAATATTCTGGTCTCATTGCCCATTAAACCCAAATAAATCTTATAATCTGCAGATATTCTACTTTTTAATAATTCAATATGTAATCATCTCAATTGGTTTCACAATAGATGAGATCTTAAATTCATAATATGGTAGACAGAGAACTAATGTGGGAAGAAATTCCTGAAAAACTGAAGGTATAGGCTAAAGGAATGTTATTCTTGATTTTCTAATGTGAACAAATGATCA